TTATCACACGGGGCCCAGTTCTGTCTTTAAAGAGATAATAAAGTGCAAATAAACCATCCTGAAAATAAAGCAAAAATAGTGCATAATTGTGTGAATTAATATCACACGCAATTAGAATAAACATGTAATAACACAAAAAGCAAAAGAAATCTGCTTTTGCATTTCATACAAAAGCAAACGGATTCTGTATATGAAGTAGAAAAGATATACTTGCACATGCATAGAGGGATACATAGTACCATTAAATATTACCGAACAGGAAATTTTAGAAAGAGAAAGCGGAGAGGCTCATATCTGCCTGGCATGTTTGTTGCCCAAGCAAAACCAGAAGTAAAAAGCAGCCCCACAGAACCATGGGAAAAACGGAAAAACGAGTGAAAGGAGGATTATTGCATGAATAAACCACATTTGACTTTCACGCTAGTGTAAATGCGCAATTACAGTAATATTGCAAATGCATTTTTGCTAAAATCCCGAAAGTAAAAAGATCTGGGATAACATCACTTTCTGACCACTTTAATGACGGGTTTTGTGCAACGTCGTGTGAAATCATTATGTGTAATTACACATTTTTTGGGGGATTTGTACGGGAAAAAATATAGATTCTCCCCATATGATCAAGTCCATCTCCAAGACTCCCTGTCCTCTGCTGCTTTGGTTAGCTCCTGTAGTTTCATACCCGTGACCTCCATAATAGAGTCCATCCAGCCAGCGTGCGGTCTTCCTCAATTTCTACAACCTTCCAACTTTCCTGGCATTATTGTCTTTTCCAATGAGTCCTGCCTTCTCACGATGTGTCCAAAGTTTGACAGCCTTGGTTTTATTACCTTGACTGTCCAGCTCTCACTTCCATCCATGGGAATAATAGGGAATAAGATGGCTTGGATGATTCTGACTTTTGTGCTGAGTTGTATGTCTTTGCATTTTAGGATCTTTTCTCATTCTTTCATAGCTTCATTCTTAGTCTTCTTCTGATTTCCTGACTGCAGTCCCCATTTCTATCAATGTTTGATCCCAGGTACGGGAATTCTTTGACTATTTCTATTTCCTCATTGAATTTGTGTAGATGCTCTCTGGTCATTATTTTGGTTTTCTTTATGTCCAGCAGTAAGCCTACCTTTGCACTCTCTTCTTTGACCTTCCTCAGTAGTTGCTCTAGGTCTGTGATGTTTTCTGTTAATAGTATTGTGTCATTTGCATATCTAAAATTGTTGATGTTCCTTCCTCTTCTTTTCACTTCTCCTTCTTCTGTGGCCAAGCCTGCTCTTTGTATAATATTTTCGGCATACAAGTTGAACAGACAGAACAGCCTTTATAAATTGTCCCTTCATAAATGCAACAAACGGATAACATATTCAGGGGTAGGCATGTTGTCATACAGCAAAGTACAATAACATCCAAAATCCACATAACAGCAATACCTTTATTGGACCAACCAAAATGCGCAAGCTACAGTTGGCCCTCCATGTCCATGTGGATTTTTTATCCACAGATTCAATCATCCACAGCATACATTCCAAAAAGCAAACCTTGATTTTGTTGTTTTCTATAAGAAACACCATTTGACTATGCCATTGTATTTAATGGAACTTGAGCATCCATGGATTTTGGTATCCACGGGGGATCTTGGAACGAAACCCCAGCGAATGCCTCTGTACATGATGCAAGCTTTTGCAGCTCCACTGGCTTCTTCATCAGGCAATGATGTTAAAAATCAGACAGAAGAAAGAAATTGAGAAAAAATGACAATGCTGGAGTGATAGGTCAACATTTTATCAAGATGGTATGGAGGGATGTCCATGTAGGCAGAGGCCATTCCTCTCTTTTGGCCATGCAGGATCTGGGAGACAAAGAATCACAAAGTCCAGGAAATAAAAGGTACGCTCCATTAGCAACACAAAAATAAGAATAAAATAAAATAAAATATCGGCTTATCCAGACAGGAAAAAAAGCCCCTGGAAGTATCAAGCAATTCCAGTTCTTTTTGTTTTGTAGATGTGCCTCAGGAACATCTACCTGCACATTCATGGTTTTGCATATTCATGATTTTACCTGCATATTCATGGTTTTGCATCCAAACCTTCTTCTTGAAAATCCCAGGTTTTTCTCATTCCTCCTCCCTTGCATTCTTCCTCTTCCTCTCCTCCTGTTCACGTCCCATATCTAGACTACGGCAAGGTTTCACAAATTGACCTTTATTTTTATGGAGCTTGTTTTAGTTATTATTCAGGGGTTATAGTCAAAGTGTTAAAGTGCTTTAGCAATATTACATTAGTAAAGGGTTAGGAATATGTTCTGTTATTGCTAGCCTTCCCCTTTGCCTTGCTTGACTCACTGTTGAATCTGGGTCCTGAAAAAAAGATTGCTATGTTTCCAGGTAGTGGCTATCTGACCTAGTTCAAATATAATAGAGACAGACTCTACAGAGAGGGAGATTTCATTTTGGCAATGAAAAGTGGGTTAATTTAAGCTGACCTGGGAAATGGGAATGAAAAGATCTTGGTCATGCCAGGAGTTCCCTGGGAATATTCAGGATCAGGAAAACATGTCGGCTGCCAAGATAAAATTGGCTTGAGCGGGAGCAAAAACTGGGACTTTCAGAGACTTTTTTTCTCTCTGGAGAGGCACTCATGCCTTGAGAAATAGTAGCACCCTATCGTCCAATCCATTGTATTCCCCATCATTGTGTATGATGTGACAGATGGACAGTGAAGAAAGAAGACAGGAAGAAAACCAAGGCATTTGAGAGAATGTGATTCTGGAGAAGAGTGCCGAGGATCCCATGGAGAGCCAAAAGGACAAACAAGTGGATCCTGAAGCAGATCAAGCTGGAAATCTCTCTGGAAGCCAAGATGATTGACTTGAGGCTGTCATATTTTGGCCACATCACAAGAAGGCACGAATCACTGGAAAAGACAACAATGCTAGGAAAGGTGGAGAGTAGGAGAAAAAGAGGAAGACCTCACGCCAGATGGATGGACTCATTGAGAGAGGTCACAGGTCTGAACTTTCCAGAGGAGGGAAAGGGGTCTTGGAGATGTCTCCTCCGCGGGGTCACCATGAGTCGAGGTTGACATCAGGGCAGCTAAGAAGAACAGCAAAGATTTGCATGAAATGTATAGTGTCTAAGGTTGAGGAAAGTAATAGTCCCACTCTGTTCTGCTTTGGTCAGGCCTCACTTGGAATAATCCTGGGTCCAGTTCTGGGCAACACAATTCCAAAAGGATGCTGAGAAACTGGAGCGTGTTCAAAGAAAAGCAATCCAAATGGTGAAAGGTCTGGAAAGCACCAAGCCCTAACAGGAGCAGCTTGGGGAGCTGGCTATATTTAGTTTGGAGAAGAGATGGATGTGATGTTAGCCATGTTTAAAGATTTAAAGGGATGCCATATTGAGGATGAAGCAAGCTTGTTTTCTGCTGCTCCAGAGACCAGGACATGGAGCAATGGATTCAAGCTAAAGGAGAAGAGATTCCACCTCAATATTAGGAAGAAACTCCTGATGGTGAGAGCTGTTCAACAGTGGAACACACTCCCTCGGAGTCTGGTGGAGTTTCCTTCTATGGAGGTTTTTAAACAGAGGCTGGATGGCCATCTTTTGGGGATGCTTTGATTGTGAGTTCCTGCATGGCAGAATGGGGTTGGACTGGATGGCCCTTGGGGTCTCTTCCAACTCTCGGATTCTATGATTCTATGAACAGTGGAAAATGCTGCCCTGCCTTGGAGACTGATGGAGTCTCTTTCTTTGGAGATTTTTAAACATGGGCTGGATGGCCATCTATCAGGAGTGCTTTGACTATGTCTTCCTGCATGGCAGAATGGGGTTGGACTGGATGGCCCTTGGGGTTTCTTCCAACTCTGTGATTCTATAATTCTTTGGGAGTGTGGAGGATTTTCTGGGATACCCTCACATGACGTCCCTGGGTGCGAAGCTCCTGCCAAAGCACAGAGAGCACCTTGTCATCGCAAAGCGTTGCTTTGGAGCACTGTGCCTGTCGCAGTTGGCACAACAAAGGCCACCATTGTCGGTGGCCTTGCCTGACACATGTCACATGATTCCCCCCCCTTCTTGCTCCGCTGTGCTTTCTGCAAGGAGACGCAGCCCCAGAGGAACTCCTGGTCAGCCCCCAGCAGCTGCCTCCCTTCCAGACAGCAAAGGCCCCAGAAGAGGGAAAGAGCCTTGGAGGGTCTGGAAGCAAAGGGATATGCAAAGCCGAGCAAAGGAACATTGGGTTGCAACGCAGGGAGCCTTGGGGAGCCAGTCTGGTGTAGTGGTTTGAGCATTGGACTATGACTTTGGAGACAAAGGTTCGAATCCCAGCTCGGACATGGAAACCTGTCACACTCTCTCGCCCTCAGAAGGTAGCAATGACAAACTTCATTTGAACATATCTTGCCAAGAGAACCCAGTGATAGGTTCACCTTACTTACGATCACCATACGTCAGAAATAACCCAACAACAATAAAGCTTTGGGACCCAAGCTTGAAAAGTTACTCTTCTTTGGATGATGTCTCCCAGAAACCCTCAGCCATCCTGGTTTTCAGTGGTTTTAGCTTTTTTTCTTTTTTTTAAAAAAGTTTATTAGAAAAATTTAAAACAAACAAACAACACAACAATTACATCAATACAAATAAACAAATACACATACACATACACATACAAAAACATAACAGATACCAACACATATACAAATGCAAATTACACATACAAATACAAACATCATCTACCAGTGGTTTTAGCTTTTACAGGCACCACTTTTTAAACAGGTCAACTGATTAATATGTTTTAAAGATTGTTTAAAATATTTTCAATAGCTTTAACTTGTAAGCTGTTAGAGGTCTTATAAGATCTTTGTTGCTGTGTGCCTTCATGTTGTTTCTAATTTATGGTGACTCTAAGGCAAACCTATCACGGGGTTTTCTTGGCAAGATGAAGTTTACAATTGCCTTTTCCTGAGGCTGAGAGAGTGTGACTTGCTCAAGTTCACCCAGTGGGTTTCCATGGTTGTGCATGGATTCGAACCCTGGGCTTCTGAGTCATAGTCCAACACTCAAACCACTACACCACCTTAAGAAGGACCGAGACCAGTTGGAGCAGGTTCAGAGAAGACAATGAGGATGATGAGAGCTACAGGGAACAAAGCATCGGAGAAGAGGATGAAGGACCTGGGCATGTTTGGTCTGATGAAGAGACGACCAAGGGGTGACATGGCTGCACTCCTTAAATGCTTCAAGAGCTGCCATAGAGACAAGGGGGAAGGGTTTTTGTGGGTTTTTCGGGCTGTGAGGCTGTGTTCTAGAAGAATGTATTCCTGACGTTTCGCCTGCATCTATGGCTGGCATCTTCAGTGAATGGTGGCATGGAAGTGAGCGGGGTATACCAAAGGTCTCATAGTATATATACTGCACACACCTCCATGCCACCATTCTCTGAAGATGCCAGTAACAGATGCAGGCAAAATGTCAGGAATACATTCTTCTAGAACACGGTCTCATAGCCCGAAAACCCCACAAAAACCTATGGATGCCAGCCATGAAAGCCTATGAATGCCAGCCTTCACAAGGGGGAAGATTTGTTCTCTGCTGCCCCAGAAGATAGAACCAGGTCTTAATAGTTTGAAGCTACAGGAGGGTAGATTTCAACTGAACCTTAGAAGGAACTCCTTGACAGTGAGAGGACTTCAGCAGTGGAATCAATGGCATAAAGAGGTGGTCGGGTCTCCTTCTCTGGACGTCTTCAAAAAGAGGCTGGACAGCTCCCTGCCGCAGATCCTTTAACTGGAGATCAGGCTTTGAACAAGGGGTTGGACTGGATGGCCCATAGGGCTCCTTCCAACTCTACGATTCTATGGACAGGAAATGTTTAAAAATTAAAGCTCCGAAATCATGAAGGCGTGTATCTTGCTTTCTAGTGGTTTTTTTTAAAGAGAAGCCCTAAAACTGCTGACCTCATATCAATAATAATATCAAACACAGGAAAACTGTTTTGAAACACCAAGATACCAACCACCAGAATAACAATAATAATAATAATAATAATAATAATAATAATAATAATAATAATAATAATAGTACACAGAACCAGCTACCTACCGCCAGAACTCTCTGTGATACCTCTGTGCTGGATTATTTCTTGTTTCTCTGTGTGTGTTGTGTGCCTTCAAGTCGTTTCTGACTTAATGGTGACCCTAAGGCGGCCCTATCGTGTTGTCTTCTTGGCACAATTTGTTCAGAGGAGGTTTGCCGTTGCCTTCCCCTGAGGCTGAGAGAGTGTGACTTGCCCAAGGTCACCCAATGGGTTTCAAGTCCGAGCCGGAAATCGAACCCTGGTTTCCAGAGTTGTAGTCTAACACTCAAACCACTACACCTTGCTGGCTCTCTCTTGCTAGAGAGCTAGCTAAAATTTGGCTTTCCCCGGACTCCCTCCCTTTCGCAGATAGCAAGAGACAGACATTTCTAGTCTGTTCAAGCTGGAGGGAAGCCAGGAAAAGCGGGTGGGAGTGAGGAAAAGGAGGACAAGGTGGGCCAGTGTGTAGTTTCTGCTGACGCTATGCTAAGCAGACAGCCTGGGCTGCACTTGGCATCGGATCCAGGCAAGGGCTAGTAAAGGACAAGCCCCTTCTTGCCCCCATAGCCCTCAGCAAGGAATGCCCCATGGACTGACTCAGGGGCTCCAAAATCAGCTCTAAAACACACATGTTCTAGGACCTCTCCCTCCAAAAAAATAATAATCCCCAAACACTTCTGCTCCCAAGCATTTTGGATAAGGGAGAATCATAGAATCATAGAGTT